AATAAGCAGAACTCTCCATGCCGCCACCGCTGCCCCTTCTCCCTCACAATGCTGTTCACTAATGTCTCTGAGCATGCGGCCTTTATTTTAAATATCTCTAACCTTCTCTTCACAGGATTCCATGGCAGCCTACAAAAGGGTGAATAAAATTAATTTGCAGAACATACAAGTGTGATTTGAAACCAACAAATAAACATAATAAAGCACAAGACAATTAAACAACACCAACACCCAAATGCAAAACAGCACAATCCCAACAATTATCTAGAATCTAAAATTCCTGGGCAACTAGAAAGGTCTCTTCACCGCAGGACACTGGTTCACTGCGCCTTTGTGAGGAATAAGCCTTCTATCATTCTGGCCACCGTTCCCTGGGACATCCCCTTCAAGGCACATGAGAGGAATCAGAAAAGGAACACTACCTCTGAAGAATATGGGACTCCCTCCCTTCACCGCCCTCCAGCCCAAATGATCAATCCCACCTCAGTTGCCCATCCCTTGACCATGCAACACTTTGTGCCCAGAGGACAGCTCTATGAAGACAGAACAGGTATGGCGCTGGCCCTGCAGCCTTGTTTTAAGGCCAGCTGTGCCATCATCAGGGCAGAAGTTCAGGGCCCCAAGCAAAATGAGCATGAGCAGGGCTCACTTACTACATTTGGAATGAAGGTAAACAACACACAACTGATGCCTGAAAAGTCTGCCCCTCCCAGCCCTGGTAAGATATTAAGTCCAGAGTCTAAACCTACCCTAACTATGTCATTGTTTGCAGCTTCTCTGGAACAGGAGCTGCTTTTCTCCTGCTTCTTTCTCTCCACCCCCACCCCCCTGACCTCTTACCCAGTTTGAACACAAACTGAGTTTGTTTCCCCCTTGCTGTCTTATTTCCAGCCGCTGATCTTTGCTGCTTTTCAAACAGGCAACCAAAGAAGTGTTTTTTGTCTTCAGGGTGGCATATGTGATGGTTAGAAGCAGCAAAGGGCTGGGGCTCATCCGCAGAACTTCCAAGTGCCTGAGGAGGGGTCTCCTTTGCCCCAGCATGTGCTAGCTTCTGTCTCCCGCTCTGAGCCCTGGGACAGCAAACAAAGCAAGGGGGTAGTGGTGGTGGGTCCTGCTGATAACCAGGAAACTTTCTGTTTCAGCGCTAAGTGCAGCCTTAACTGATGGTGTTGCTCCTGTCTGCTTAGTAAGGCAAAAGCTTCTGGAGGGCCAGGAGGAAGACACAGACACAGCAGGGATTGTGCCAAGGAGGGACAGATACCATACCCTCCAACATTTCTGCGGTGAAAATAGGGACGTCCCATTCCATAATGATAATTTTACTGTTTATACCCCCACACATCTGCCTGGGTTGCCCAGCCGCTCTGGGCAGCTTCCAACATATATAAAAACATAATAAAACATTTAAAAAAACTTCCCTATACAGGCTTTCTTTCAGGTGGCTCAGCGGTCTGAATACTGGAAGATTCAGGAGGGGTTAAAGGAACGTACTTCACAATGCATTGTTAAACTATGGAACTCACTCCCTCAGGACACAGTGATGGCCACCCAATTTACAAAGGAGAATCTTGCTTGCTGGTTTCCCACAGGCATGCTGGACTTGATAGGACATTGGCCTGATCCTGCAGGGCTTTGCTTATGTTCTTATGGCACAGGCTCCTCATCCCTGTTGTAAAGATGATCCAGTAGAGGGAAACAACCGCGGGACTGGATCTGTTTGGAGCTGGTTGAAAAGCTACTTTAGCTTTGCAGAAGGGCGTGTGAAAACCAGAGAGTTTGGTGCAGTGGTTAGAATGCTGGACTAAGGCCAGGAAGAGACCAGGGTTCAAATCCCCACTCAGCCATGAAGCTCCCTGGGTGTCTTTGGGTCCGTCACTGTCTCTCTGACTAATCTACCTCACAGGGCTGTTGATGTTGTGAGGATAAAATGGAGGGGGTGGGTGCAGGGGAGATGTTCCTTCAGTTAGTTCAGCCTTTGCCAACACCTCAAGGGTGCCAGGCTGTCAAAGCTAATTCCTCCTAATGAGGTTCCCTGTGAACAGCTTCTATCTGCTCTGTGCAAGAAAGTGGTGGAGAGGTTCAAGCCTGATCTGGCTGGGAAATGGTGCTAAAGTGCATCGTTTTATTATTCCACCTTCAGTTCCTGCAGGGCTTTGGAAAGAGGTCTCTCTGCTGCCCCCTATTGGGCAGAGCACATCATTGGCACTTCAGTGTCCCCTTCTGCTCAGTAAGATGTTTTATGATGCACTTTCAGACAGTTGCTGTTTTCGGATGGGATCCAGTCACAGGCCAGCAAATTAAGGCTGCTCATGAGCCACCATTGGCAGCAACAGCAGAGGATATATTCTACATTTAAGACAATATCTTATCTTGCTAATTATACTGTTATAAATATGTATTCTATATTTGACCTCCTCTAGTAATGTACTGGGGGAATACAAGTGGGCTGCTGTGGGGTCAGGCTCACTACCAGAGCAAGCCACCCTTTTAACATCACCTTTTGGATGACGGCCTTGCCCTGTTTTAAAGTGTTTTTACCTGTTTTGGATTTAATTTTTGTGGTTGATTTTTGTTTTGTATTGTTGCTGTTGTTGTTGTTGTGTGGGAGGGAGGTGATGTAAAAATTGGGATTTGGCTTTTGCTGCCCAACTCTCCATGGGAATCTGAGTCCCCTAAGTCCATGAGAAGAATGGATGGAGGCAGGATCCAGTGGAAAGCAAGGCAGATCTTTATTTTTCTGTTGCAACAGAGTTCTCCCCTCCCAAGGAGGGAAAGACGCTGAACAAAGTGTGCAGGAACCTTTAAAGACTTTTGACATTGCCCAGCCCCCTTAGTCAAAGACCCCCCCCCCCCAGACATCATGCATACATCATAGGAGGTGGTCTACAGCAAAAATCATGTCTGCCAGGATACCTGATAATGGTCATTGATTGCATTACCTGGGCAGACTGGCTATTCTTTTGTGATGGTTAATACTTTAGTTCCCGAATCCAGGTCACAGGCTCACCCTGTTCATACACAAATATGCCCTTGTCAGGATTTGTAAGCGAAAAGACAATGGGAAGCCTTTCCCAATTTGCCTCCCTTACTGCTGAGGAATATTTGAAGTCGTTGGGAGAATCAAAATGGCTTCAGGATTGCTCTCCTGTACTATTTCAGACACATGGTTCATGAATTTAGATATGTGTGCATTTATGAATATTTATTCTATATTTGAGACCTTAAAATTCTTATAACAGAGGGAAGCTGGGGAGAGTGGGGGGACCGCAATCACAATGGTTCTGTACAGAATCATAGAGTTGGAAGAGACCCTGTGATTCATCTAGTGCAACAGAGGGGACTATGCAGCTGTCTCTTACGGGGGTCAAGCCTGTAGTCTTGGCATTATCAGCACCGTGCTCGAACCAACTGAGCGTAAGGGGAGCTATGGTGTGGGCAGTGGGGCAGGCCAGGTAAGGGGCACACAGCAGAGGCAGTTAGTGACTCTGCCACATGCCAGCTCCAGCCCCACACCTGGGGAATTGCGGTGCACGCCACGCCCCCTGGGACGCGCGCCAGCCATGCCCCCGGATGTACACTGCTCCCAGTGCCGGAACAGGTAGCTCCACCGCTGGCCCTTGGGTCTGTGGCTGCTGTTGCTGAATGCTAGGTTGGCTCTGAAGACCTCCCTCATCTATGATCTGATTGTGGATGAGGAGGCTGATCTGGTCTGTATCACTGAGCTCTGGGTGGGTGAGCAAGAATGAGTTGGTCTCGCCCAAGTGGGGACTCAGTGCAGCAATAGGGCAGACTTCAGGGTCGGGGAAGGGGGGTTGCTGTAGCCTGCAGAGATTCCGTCTCTCTTTCCAGGCTCTCTGTCCAGTTGAGGAGGGATCTAGATGGTTTGTTCTTGGCATTGGGCATCTGGCACAGCTTAGGGATTCTGCTGGTTTACCACCTAGCAGTCTGCCTGCCTGCCTGCCTGCCTGCCTGAGCTGACAGAGCTGGTTTGGGAGGTGGTGTTGAGGACTCAGACTGCTGTTTCCAGGGGACCTCAACATCCATGTTGAGGTGACTGGTTCTGGGGTGGCTCAGGACTTCATGACTGCCATGACAACCCAACATGTCATCAGCCCAATGCATGTGGCAGGCCACACTCCAAACCTTGTTTTCTCAACTGGATAGGAAGAAGGTGATCTGAAAGTGGGGGATCTAGACATCTGTCTCTTGTTATGGCCAGATCACTTCCTGTTGAGATTTAGGGCTTATACATACTTGGCTTTCCTCCGCTCCTTCCAGACATAGGTAAAGGTAAAGGGATCCCTGACCATTAGGTCCAGTCGCGGACGACTCTGGGGTTGCGGCACTCATCTCGCTTTACTGGTCAAGGGAGCCAGTGTACAGCTTCCGGGTCATGTGGCCAGCATGACTAAGCCGCTTCTGGCGAACCAGAGCAGCGCACGGAAACACCGTTTACCTTCCCGGTGAAGAGGTACCTATCTATCTACTTGCACTTGACGTGCTTTCGAATTGCTAGGTGGGCAGGAGCAGGGACCGAACAATGGGAGCTCACCCCATCGCAGGGATTCAAACTGCTGACCTTTTGATCAGTGAGCCCTAGACTCAGTGGTTTAGACCACAGCGCCACCCGCATCCCATGACATGGATTGCACTTAAAAGCTCTGTGTCCAAGCTAGAGTCAGATAATAGTTTTCCAGAGAATTAAATAGGCATCAGTCCTGTCCCAGGAGTATACACAAACATTTATTTTATCCTATGGTCTTATTTGGCCAAACAGGTGCAGCAGGTTTCTTATGTAATAACAAAACCTGAAAAACCTTTTTGACCAGCAATGAAAGTGAAATTTGATTCCTCTTTTAAGCTGCCTCCAGCCCTCTACAAATGTTAATATATATCTTCAAGCTTAGTGTAGGCATGGCTGGGCAAATGCTGAGAAAATGATAATAGGGAGAAAATGACCCACACAGCACTTAAATCTCTCAGCTGTGTTAATGGATTTTGCGGATGGCAGTTCAAAGCAACTCTTGCTATAGGGTGCTTGGTAAGTTTTATTAAGCAGGAAAATTTCATAGATGCTGATGAGCAGAAGAGAGGATGGCTGCTGGCAGATGCAGCCAAGAGTTGCTTGGCCCCTTCAAATGTGTATTTAAACATCAACCTAGAAATAAATGATGGATTTTCAAAGACAGTTCTGTCATGCGGAAGAGTTCCTCAGTTCCCAGGAGAAACGTCCTGCCTCATTCCTGGTACAGTCCAGTGGGGACACTACAGATGTTGCTGCATTGTAAACAAAACAAATTAATTAAAGGAAAATTAGAACATCGGCACATTCATAATTGGCTAATCCACCAGCCCCTAATATAATTAATTATGTTAATGCAGGTGGCAGCTGCCATGGAAGGAAATATGCTGCTGACGAATGCTGCCAGCAGAGCATGGGGTGTCGGAAGGGAGCCATCACTCCTGGGTAGGGGGCTAACTGGAAGGGCCTGTCTCTGGTGCAGTTCCTGCTCCATCAACAGAGCTTGAGCAGGAGACATTCCCAGGAGTCTTTTCTCCTTTGCTCAGACAGGGAAACAGAAGACACCTTCCCTTGAGGCAGGTGAAAACAAAAACCGGAAGAACGTAGGAAGCTGCCGGATGCTGAGTGTGGCTGCACTGGTCCATCTAGCTCAGTACTATCTGCACTGACTGGCAGTAGCTCCTCAGGCTTTTCCCACCCTGCCTGGAGGTGCCAGGAACTGAGCTTGGGATTTGCATGAAAAGCAGATGCCCTACTGCTGACCTGTAGCCCTTCCCCTTAAGAGTCCAGTTGCACCTTAAAGGCTAATAGATTTCCATAGAGCAGCACTCTTCCCCAGGCTGGTGGTGCTCTCTGGATGTTTTGGATGGCAGCTCCCATCAGTCTCTGCATTGCGGGGGGCTAGACTAGATAACCCTTGGTGATCCCTTCCAACTCTACAATTCTATTGTTCTGTTGTTCTATGTTCTGGAGGGCATCAGCAGCCTGGGGAAGGCTATCTTGTAGCCTAAGCTTTCATGGATCCTCAGGATTTAGTGTGTGTCATTAGGAGCAAATGCAAGCCCAGATCCCACTCCTGGGCTGCATGTGCAGAAACACTCTGCAAGTGGATTCATAATGGGAATGGGGACAGGGGACCGTTTGGACGTTCTGCCACCCAGACTCCCAAATCCTGGAGAAATAATCAGCATGAGAGAAGAAGAGCAAGAGTTTGGATTTGATATCCCGCTTTATCACTACCTGAAGGAGTCTCAAAGCGGCTAACATTCTCCTTTCCCTTCCTCCCCCACAACAAACACTCTGTGAGGTGAGTGGGGCTGAGAGACTTCAGAGAAGTGTGACTGGACCAAGGTCACCCAGCAGCTGCATGTAGAAGAGCAGAGACGCGAACCCGGTTCACCAGATTACGAGTCTACCGCTCTTAACCACCACACCACACTGGCATGTGGAAGGGTAGAAACTTGCTGGAGCATTCTGGCTAGGCTGAAATGAAGCCCCACTCTTGAAAACTACTTCACATTCCTAGTGCAGAGCAGCAGGGGGCAGCAAAGCTCCAGCGAAGCCTCCGGCAGCAGCATCATGTCATGGCAGCCACACAGAGAGAGCAGGCTGATTGTGTAAGTAGTGAGAGTACAACATGAAAACAAACCTTTTAAGGTGTATCAGGCAAGATACCACTCCCAAACACCCCCCCCACTCTCCCTGCTCCAAAGCTCAGAATGTAATGCAGAGGGCCTGTCTTTTAGAAGAGCGAAACATTTGTAGCCTGGCAGCCATAGAATAATAGAACCGTAAAGTTCTATGGAAAGGACCGCAAGGGCCATCTAGTCCAACCCCCTGCAATGCAGGAATCACAGCTAAAGAATCCCTGACAGATGGCTATCCAGCCTCTGTTTAAAAACCTTAAGAAATGAGTGTCCACCACCTTCCGAGGCAGTCCATTCAACTGTTGAACAGCACTTGCTATCAGAAAAGGGACGCAGGTAGCACTGTGGTCTAAACCACTGAGTCTCTTGGGCTTTCTGATCGGAAGGTCAGCAGTTCAAATCCACGCAATGGGGAGAGCTCACATTGCTCTGTCCCAGCTCCTGCCAACCTAGCAGTTTGAAAGCACACCAGTTCAAGTAGATAGATAGGTACTGCTGTGGCGGGAAGGTAACAGGCGTTTCCATGCGCTCTGGTTTCTGTCACGGTGTCCCACTGCACCAGAAGTGGTTTAGTCATGCTAGCCACATGACTAAACTGTCTATGGGCAAACGCTGTCTGGAAAGCTGTCTATGGGCAAACGCCAGCTCCATTGGCCTGAAAGCGAGATGAGTGCCGCAACCCCGTAGTCCATGGGTAGGCAAACTAAGGCCTGGGGGCCAGATGCGGCCCAATTGCCTTCTAAATCCAGCCCGCGGATGGTCCGGGAATCAGCGTGTTTTTACATGAGTAGAATGTGTCCTTTTATTTAAAATGCATCTCTGGGTTATTTGTGGGGCATAGGAATTTGTTCATTATCCCCCCCCCCAAAAAAAAACTATAGTCCGGCCCCGCACAAGATCTGAGGGACAGTGGACCGACCCCCTGCTGAAAAAGTTTGCTGACCCCTGCCATAGTTGCCTTTGACAGGGGTCTTTTACCACCAGAAAGTTCCTCCTAATGTTTTGTCAGAATCTCCTTTCTTATTTGCATCCATTGGTTTGGGTCACACCCTCTGGAGCAGCACAGAACAAGCTTGCTCCATCTTCCATGTGACAGCCCTTTAGATGTGATTGCAAAGAGGACATAAGCCATGCACTGGCTGGGGCTGGTGGGAGTGGTCGCTACCCCAAACAGTACCAGGCTGGAGATGTGTGACATAAGGAATTGCTCGATTCCTGGCGACTTGAGCTGAAAGAACGATCAAAGAGCCTTGCCCCACCTTTTCTGACCTGGGTGCTCTCCAGATGTTTCTTACTATTAACTCGCACCAGTCCCAGCCAGCACATGGGAGGTGCAGCCCCAAACACCTGGAGGGGACCAGGCTGGGAAGGCTGGCTTAGATCATTACAGTGAGAAGTGATGGAGAAGCAAGTCTGCCTAGAAGCTCATGCCCCCCTCCAAGTTGTGGGGTGGGGTGGGGGAGACAACTTCAGCTCTCCCAGAGCTTAACTCTAGTGTTCCAGAGCATAAGAGTTGTTAGGAGACCCCTATTCCCCTCATAAGGGACGTCAGTGGTGCTGTGGGTTAAATCACAGAGCCTAGGGCTTGCCGATCAGAAGGTCGGCGGTTCGAATCCCTGCGACGGGGTGAGCTCCCATTGCTCGGTCCCTGCTCCTGCCAACCTAGCAGTTCAAAAGCACGTCAAAGTGCAAGTAGATAGATAGGTACCGCTCTGGTGGGAAGGTAAACGGTGTTTCAGTGCGCTGCTCTGGTTCGCCAGAAGTGGCTTAGTCATGCTGGCCACATGACCCAGAAGCTGTATGCCGGCTCCCTCGGCCAATAAAGCGAGATGAGCGCCGCAACCCCAAGGTCGTTTGTGACTGGACCTAATGGTCAGGGGTCCCTTTACCTTTACCTATTCCCCTCATGGAGATACAATTTCCGGAGTTTTCTGGGAAAAGGAACTGGCTGTTAAACCACTCTGCCAACTGTAGCTCTGTGAGGGGAATAAAGGTCTCACAATGACTCTCGTCACCCTACAGTTTTCAGAATTCTTTGCGGGAAGCCATGACTCTTTAAAGTGGCATGATACTGCTTTAAATGTATAGTGCAGATGGGGAGCAAAACTAGAATGAGCTGGATCTGCCTGCTGTTTGCTCTGGCGCCACCTACTGTTGGGCTCCTTGCTTCTTACCCCACCAGTCCCAATGGGCACCAGCCACAACTGCCGGCGACAGGCATTTATGTGGAGCAATGGAGACATGACTGCATGCTCTCTATGTATGCAGCTATTACAGAGTAGATCATTTACTCTCCGCCTACTTAAATTCCCAGGGAAGGACCTCTGAATGGTATTTGGCCTATTTACTGGCTGGCATGAACAGAATAATAACATAATCAGTTGCTAGATTTCTTTTTTCTGCTGCTGCAAGGACTGGTAAAAGGATTTTGTTAATATAATTATATCTTGGTTAGCTTCTGTGCTTTATTTATATAAGTACCATATATTTTACCTCAGCGTATGTTACTAATGGCATGGTTTGGGAGTTTTAATTTGTTTTACTGGGTCTGTGACCTTATAATAACATGTGCTTGTTGTTATTTGTCTAAAGATTTGTATATTAAAAACAAACAAACCCTGCTCTTACACCAAAATAAAAGGCTGCTAGAGCAGCTTATAAATCTCTCACCAAAAAAAATATATGCAGTATCGTCCCCCAGACTTACTGAAAAGGCATGATACTAAAGGAAAATAAATTAGGAGGGAGGAGGAAACAAGCAAACCCAGGTAGGTACAAGTTCTTAGTTACAAGTGGGGTGGAAAACTCAAGGAGGGGGGCTGCAAAAGTTGCTGGTGCAGTGGCAATGGGTCTTGTCAGCAGAGGGATGATTTTGCCTTTGTCACATCACATTCCTCCAACCCGCCTTCCAAGTTGCCAAATGGCAATTCTAGTTGCCAAGCAGGGCTATGCATGGACAGTGCTGCTGGAACTCTGAGCTGTGCACTCTCCTCCTGATCCATCCTGTAGCTGCTGAAAAAGCCTGCACAAAATCCATTCCTGCCCTCTAATGTCCTATTACGCCACGCAGAGCCACGGCCAATTCGAAACACTTAATTAACAGACAATTGAAGTCGTCTCTCTCTCTCCCCTTCTCTCTTTCTCTTTTTCCACCCTCCTTTCTCTCCTTCCCTGCCACTTTTGCTCTGCAAAGCTTGGAGGAAATTCTTCCTGGGATTGTGATGGAGAAGAGACTAGTCAATAAATCTCCCGGCCTGCGCAGACGTGATCAGAATAATCCTGTTGCTCAGGCAAGAAGTGCTCAGGCACCCCCAAACTCAACAGGAATGCTGTTCGCTGGCCCAGTTCCCAGGGAATCACCCTCTCTTCTGGGTGAGATGGATTCCCCCCTGCCCCCTGCTGGAGACTGATTCCCATGGAATCTCCCTGCCTCCCTCAAGGCTAGCCTTTGCCAACCTGGTGCCCTCCATAAATTTGGGACTACAACTTCCAGGAGTCCCAGCCAGCTGTGGCTCATGGGAGTTGTAGTTCCAATGTATCAGAAAGGCACCAGGTTGAAGGCAGCTCCAGGCACTCCCCATCCTAACACTTTGGACCAACTCAGTGCATCAGAGAGAAACTCATTCCTTTCAGCCTGAAATCTCTCCAGGACTCTGGATGGCAAGGCAGTGCATCACTGGATTTGGCCAAGAGGCGAGTTTGGGCCGTGCAGCTGTTTCTGGTTTTATCTGGACAATTGTCAGTTTGGTTGCCACCTTGTTGTGCCTTCAATAGCAGCCTGACAGGCATTATTTCACTTGTGGTCTTCCCTGGAGAAGAGTGGCAGGGGAAACCTCTTCTTTAATTCCACTGGGTTGGGCTTTTAAAGGCACAGGGGTAGGGCCAGTAAGGGAGGAGAAAGGAGTAGTCATGTTTCCTCTTTAAAGTGAGAATCATGATTTCTGCAGCTGTTAGAGCTGCCTGAGGGTCCCATTCTATTCTGTCAGTGGGCAGGACCAGAGCAACGACATGTAAATGTTCCCTTTGTGCAGTAGACTACTTTCTCCATACACTCACACCCCACTCTCCATCCTTCATTGATAAAAGCAAGGGACTTTAAGAAGAATAAACATTAAAGGGTTGAAGGCAGAACAAAAAGCATGTTCTAATTGTTTGAACCAAGAAAGTTTTAAACCATCAAGGGAGTTCTGAGTGCTAAGAATTTTAATTTTTTTAATTCTCTGTTTTCCCGACGAAAGCGTTGCCTTGAAATTGAAATGTTGCTACTGCATATTTCCTCTGTGGGAAAGGAATGTGTTTTGATAAGAGAGAACACTGTAAAAATCCTAAGGTGGAGATGGGAGATTGAAGATCTTAAGGTGGAGATGGACTTGTGAATAAGGTGAAGAATGTTTAGTATGGCAAATATACATTGCTGGACATTCCATTCACTGTTGGCATGCTTTAGCAATTGTTTGATGAGCAAATAAAAGTTATTAGAGCAGAAATTGATGTAATGGTGAATGAAAGCGGACCAAAGAAGGATGAAATGGAAAATGGAATTAAAGAGGGCACAGGGACTTCAGAGAACAATATAAACAGGAGATGAAATGCTATAAAAGCAAAGGGCATGATCAGAGTTCAAGGGCACATCCCAGCCAAGCAAGAACACTCAGGGAGGGTGCAAAGCGGGGCTGGTGAGGGGTGTGGCCTAGGGAGAAGGGGCGTGGCTGGGAGGTGTCTGAGGGCGAGGTGGAGAGGCCTGGAGGGCTTCTCCATAGATCTCTTGCACTGAACAAAAACCTTCTCTCAATGAATACCTCACACTCTTGTCAACGCTGCTGAATGCAGCCTTGACTTTATAGCGACCTCTGCCTGTACACATATTCCTTAGAGGAAGGGAGGGTGGATGAGTCATGTTCCAGGCATTTAGCCTTGGACTGTTTCTAAGCCACCCACTGTAGCTGGGGTGCTAACACTAAGCAGAAGCCAGACAGAGGGGGTGGGCAGTTCAAGACATGGCCCAAGCACTTAGTGCAGTTTCACTCGTTTTTCCAAATTACATCAACAGAAACCACCCT